TTCCTTCTGTAGCACTCCTCGGGAGCGGCAGCAGCAGCAAGCGAGCTGAGAAGTCTAGCCAGACCTGTCACACTCCTCCTTACAAGCCTTTCACGGCTTGGTGCCTTGAATGAGGAAGAATCTGATTTTTTTGTTGTTTGTTTAATGTTAAATTTCTAGGGATGGGCATTGGAATGAAACCAGAGGTGGGCAAAATGTGACGTCTTCTGCATTGCTTAGTTTGCAAACCTGTCAGCAGGTCAGGGTGTTGGGTAGCACCAGCTGCCTTTTTTAATCTGTGAGCTTCATCTAAACCTTCTGTCTTCTTCACCATTGTCCACCACATGTGTCCTGTGAGTTGAGCCCCCTTGGGTGCCAGAAGGCTCTATTTCCCCTCCTTGGTGGTTTGAAGGAGCCCTGAGTACAAGAAGAGGGCAGTTTAATGAAGCCAAAGCAAAACTCCTGCTTGCTACTGTAGTCATGAAGGGGGGAACTCAACTCTGCTGGCTCTTGACATCCAAAACCTACCTGTCCAGCTAAAGGCAGTCATCTGTGCCCTGTGGTCAGTGCAGAGAGAGGGATGCCATGAGACACCATCTCATTCCTTGCCATGGCACAAATTGTTCTAAGAGATGCTTGACACTTTCCATGGACACTGGTGGGAGCCCGAACAGCCGGTCTGTGTGAGCTATAAAATAAGTCCCCTGTGAGATGAATGTTTTAAGTGAAAAACATTGTGAGGATCAAGCTTTTGGACAAAGGACCAGCTGCTTTTTTTAGTATCACCGACGCGTTGCAGGGAGGAACGTGGCCATGCCTTTGCAGGCTCTTGCCCTGCCATGTGTGAGAAGTTGCTCATCCCATGCTGAAAATGGTGTGATGTAAAGGCACAGCCTTGTCACAGAGCCAGCCTTCAGGCTGCCCCTGTGTCCAGCGTGCTCCCTTGGCACACGCGAGGGGGAATTGGCACTCCTGGACAACCTGCCCTCCTTCCCTGGAACCGTAGTGGGTGCCTGTGCAAGGTAGGAACTACACAGTGATGGTGAGCTGGGGCCAAGGAGGCTTAAGGTGAGCCCCTCTGCAGCCTGGGTATGGTCACCGTTTCTGTCATTCCATCACTTGACAAGCATCTTAAAAAACATTTATCACTTGCAGTTGTGGGAAACCAACCTGACACACCTTCTTATTTTTATTCTTCCCTCTTTTTTTTTTTTCATTCTAGCCATACAGAATGCCTCCATTTTCAGGGTAATTTATTGTTTTCAGTTAAGCTTTTAGCTGGATGTTTGTGGTATTAAAGCTTTTGGCAGGATTAAATGCAAATGCCAGGTAAATCTGAAGCACTGTGTTTGGCAAGCTGTCCTGGCTCTAATCGATGGCTGAGGATGTGTCATCTCACCCTCTCTCCTCCTCGTTACCCCAGGTTTCTTGCACCTAGAAAGGTGTACCCTAGGTGAAGAGCATCACCCAGGAGCTAGTACAGAGCAACATGGGAAGCGTTTATTTTGGGACGTATGGTTTGACGTTAATCACGTGTCTCGTATTAAAATCTTACCCCGGAATGTGTCAGATGTGCCATTTTAAACCACAGTGCGAAGCAGTCTCCTCCAGTCAGGTCCTGGTTCCACCAATAAGCACGTTTGTGTTTATTAACTCTTCATTCCTCTTTGACAGGATGACTTGCTGTCCTTGAAAGTTGTCAGTGTCCTCCACCACCTCAGCATCAAAAGAGCCATTCAAGTTTTGAGAATAAATAACTTCGAGCCCAACTGCCTGCGCAGGAGGCCGTCTGATGAGGTACTGCCTTAAGATGAAATTCTGGAGATGAGTACTCCATTTTTTTTTTCCTGGTGTTTCTGATTATTCCTGGTCTGCCCTCTTCTCCTTTCTTCTCCTTCCTATTTCATTCTGTTTCATTTTCGGTTTCTTTTTTTTTCATGTTCTTCTTCCAAGTCTCATGCTCTGCCATCATTACTTGGAACATCACCTTCTCTCCTTCACCTGTTGTGGCCTCAGACTCCTGTCCCCTTGCCAAATCTCCCACTCCTTTTCCTAGCCAAGAGCTGGCTGTTTTGGCTTAGTCTCTGATGTGCTGTCTGGAACATAAATCATCTTGAACTCAGTGCACTGTTGCTGTGAATCTTGTGTGAATCTCTGGAAAATTGACTGTGTCAAAGTTTTCTGTGTAAAAGGGGTTTGGCCCTGTTACCAGACTAGAGACTGCCATCAGTTTGTTTTGGAAGCAGTGTGTGCTGGATAGGGCAATGGATGATGGAGCAACCCAGACTCTTTGATTTGGATTCACGATGCATATCTGCAAGAAAAGCACAGTGGCTCATGAAGCTAGTAAAATTTTCAGTTCTGCTGGTAGAAGTTGCAGGTAGTCCTAGTGCACAGCAGGATAATCAAATGGCATGAAGCATAATACAGACCTGCCCACTCTCCAGACCCATCTCCACGTTGGTATTGCTGCAGGATAGCAATACATGAAGAGGTTTTTTTCTTAAGTGCAAAGTGAGCTTGCATTCATTAAGCTTTAAGCTTAAGGTTTGTTTCAGTAAAGACTGGGGCTGGGACTACTGAGTCGAGAAGTCTCCTTAACTGTGCGTTCCTCCTGTTCACAGAACAATGTCACACCTTCTGAGGTCACCCAGTGGACCAACCATCGCGTGATGGAGTGGTTGCGCTCCGTTGACCTGGCGGAGTATGCTCCTAATCTGCGGGGGAGCGGCGTGCATGGGGGACTCATGGTAAGGTTTTAGGCTGGCTTATTCCATTTTATTTAAAAAAAAATAAATGGCTGAGAATTGCTAGAGCAAAGTTCTGACATTATCTTTGCTGCACACACCTCATCATCTTCTGCTGCTTAATAAGAAGTCGCTATCAAAGTTTATTTGATATGTCTTGGGCATATCAAAACTTATTTGAATGTCTTGGGCAGAATTAGAGAGGGCAGCAATGGGTTTGATTGTCTGTATTCCCCTCGCAATTTAGTTCAGTATGGCATTCTCCACCTCCTGTCCTACGATGCTGTACGCTGCTATCGAGCTGTTAAATAGCCACTGTCTGCCTTCCTTGACCTGAACATGTTTTTATGTTGTGAGGAAGGCTTGTTACTTTTGTCAAATGTGTGATTTCAGTGTCAAACCAGGATTGTTTTTAATTGCTCTAGCATCAGGTACTCCAGGCAAGGGGTTTATACTTGCAGAGTTTTGTTGTGGTGATTAAGAGGTATATCCCTGCTCCAAACATTTTACGTCTGTTTATTTTTCATCATTCCTCTGGCTATGTTTTCCAAAATTAAAGAGGCCGGTAGGTAAAGTTTTGTGGCAGCTTAACACATTACATGAGTTAAGGGTGGATTTATCTGTTCCTTTCTTCTTACCTGCCAATTTGTTTCTATTTATAACTCAAGAAGGAAAGCCGAGAGGTAGCATTTTATGAATCCTTGAACTAGTTAACTCTCTTGTGTCTCTCTCTTTGTTGTGTGCTTCCTCCAAAAGACAAATAAAAATGCCAAAGCAACCTCAGGAAGTGACCAAGATAGGCATGCCTGTTGATGTCCTTGAGACCTCGTCAGACAGTACTGATTTCAGCTGAATTCTTGTGGTTTGTTTGGTAGGTTTTGGAACCTCGTTTCAATGTAGAAACCATGGCACAGTTGCTGAACATCCCACCAAACAAGACGCTACTGAGACGGCACTTGGCAACTCATTTCAACCTCCTCATTGGGCAGGAGGCCCAGCAGCAGAAACGCAAAGCCATGGAGTCCCCAGACTACGTCCTCTTAACAGCAACTGCCAAAGTAAAGGTAGGTCACTTGTTCTAGGTCGGTGCGTGAGCTTCGAGGCAGAGATTTAGATCTCCAGCATGCTGGTTTTATCTGTGATTGGAGGGCAGTTCAGTAAGGTCCGAGAAAAGGGACTGGCTGCTAATGGAACAAGCATGAGAGCAGGACTCACCAGATTTGAGTTTGACATTTGTGTCTGCCGTGAACGCACCACTTCTCAGCCTCTCGTATGCACAGACAAGAGGTAGCACTCTTGCGTGTTGTCCTTTTGTCTGTACTATAAAACGTTTGACAGGGAGACTGTCTCTTACTGTTTATATGCTCATGGCTTAACGCAGTGGGATTCTGATCTCATTTGGTATCTAACAGTGGTAGAATGAGGGGACACATCTTGTTCTCTTGGATGCTATTATCGTGAAATACAGCTATTCAGAAGATCTTTGTTTAGGAGAGCAGCGGGATTTTGACCCTTCATCATTGAAGCACCAATGCAAGAGTAAGAGATCTGTTAATTCTTTGCTGACTCTCTAACTTCTTGTCAATTTTCTCTTCCCTTGTAAGCCAAAGAAACTTGCCTTCAGCAATTTTGGGAGCCTGAGGAAGAAGAAGCAAGATGATGTGGAAGAGTATGTGTGTCCTATGGAGCTGGGGCGGGCATGTGGAAGTGGGTCGAAGAAGGGTTTTAAGCCCGGCCTGGATATCCGAGTGTATGACGATGACGATTTGGACAGGCTGGAGCAGGTAAGCCAGTTCTAGCAGTTTGGAGTCCTTGACTGTGCTGTCAGGTTTGGTGGAAAAACCTTTCTTTTCACAGGGAAACCTTCCTTTGGCTTTGACCCATGAAGGTCCTGACTTCCTGCAGTCACACAGCACCACTAACAAATGTGTGTCTCAGCCCAAGGAGGTTCAAGCTGTGGACGCCGCGCCTTTAGGACCTACCTACTCCGGCATAACTGTCCTGTTCTTTGCTGCTCCTCCCTTGCTCTGACCACAGGGAGCATAATCGAGCACTTACATTCTTTGCTGCACTTAAGTGCCACTCTGTTGTGGCAGACAATTAATTTGTTATTCATTATTTGTTTTTTGTAGATGGAAGATTCAGAAGGGACAGTGAGGCAAATAGGAGCATTTTCTGAAGGCATCAACAACTTGACAGTAAGGCTTAAAAGTGGGGTCTGTGGAATAAGGTCTCTGTGTCTGTAAGATGGATATAAACCCCTTGGCAGTCGCTAGTATTAAATAGCAATGCTATTAATATAAATATTGATATTAAATTGTACTACTATTTAATGTAAATACACTAAGCACAACTTTTTTTTCCCTGTTACTGGCTCTGTTAAGCAGTTGAGTTTTGCAGTTTTGGTGGCAATAGCTTTGATTAATTTCAGTGGATAGCGGGACCTAGTTTTCGGAAGCGCCACTGGTCCCTGAGGGCTACAGTATGTCAAATACTTTGCAAATTCTGGGTGTAGCAAAGCCTCATCAGAAGTCAGATGAGATCCTTTGGTTTTCGTACAAGGACAGAGGGAAAAAGAAAAATTAGCAGTTGAGGAAGATACCCGGCCAGGAGTGGTGGCCCAGCATCACCAGCCCTCTTCGCTGACTCTCCACCCTCCAAGGAGGCAGAGGACATGGGCACCCAGGTCTAAGCCAGCGGGTTGCCCTTAGGCAGTGGGTTGCCAACTGAGGGTCATACCAGCCCCAGCCTGCGCTCCCTGAGCCGTTTGGGCCACCAGAAAGGGGACCGAGCTGCAAGCTGGCCAAGAGCCAGCACGGGTGGAAAACGTCCTTAGCAGAACGAAGCGGTGGCTGGCAGGGGTGTCGGTGCTGTTTGGTGGCGGGCACAGGACCGGACCATCCCAGGTGCTTGCTTTTAGTTGTGAGGGCCTGATCCTTGACTCTTCCCTCTTTTCCTTTCTAGCACATGTTGAAAGAAGATGAAATGTTTAAAGACTTTGCAACTCGCTCTCCTAGCACCAGTATAACAGATGAGGACTCCAACGTGTGACAGTAACCACCAGGCACTGACAAAGGCTCACTTTCCTATGTGCAAGAAACGTCGTCATTACACGTGACGGGCAGCAGATCATGTACATTACATTGCTCTTGCTTCTGTTTGTTAGAAGTGATATTGGGGGGTGGAAAATTTTAAAAAAGGACAAAAAAAAAAACGGTGCCTACTCTAAAGTTGCCATAAGAAACACCCAGACACTGGTGAATGGTAATTGTTTTTACTATATTTAATGTACAAACTGGTGGTATGTTTCAGAGTGTTGCATTTAAATTTACGTGGTATCGTAGTGCTCCTTTTGCTTGTTCACAGCCTCGGATAATCCTTTATACTGTTTCAAAATAACAGAAGATGTTAGGTAGAAGTATTGCATCTGTAGATACAGTGCATCAGCTTTCTCTAGGCTCTCAGCTGAAAAAAGATGTTGCTGCTCTTTTTCAAGTGCATTTGTTCAGCACAAATACCAGTTCTGCCCTTCCCACGGTATCCAATGTAGGATTTTAGTCATCCATGCCTCGCGTAAACTCCCCGGTAGCTCTTGACTGTTGCTCTTATTTTTATACTGTTTTATAAAAAAAAAAAAAAAGAAAGAAAAAGAAAAAATAAGTATATGAAGTACATATAAAAGCAAAAATTTAAGTTTTGTGAGATAGAGTGATGGAAAGTTCGAGGTGTGGGGGAAGGGGAGAGAGTTGTAAAAGATTATGCCAGTTTGCATACCAGCTGGTTACTGGAAAAGGCAGGCTGACCTTTGGAACTGTTTGCTTTCGTTGCTTTTTACTAAGTGCACAGTTTAATGATCTTCCATTTGGGGTGAAACAAGTACAAAGCATGTTTCTTCTAGCAGTGACTCTTATGGAAACTGCACATTTCAAAATGTCATCTTTCTTGTTCCCAGCAGCAGTAGTTATAGTGTTCAGACAAGGTTATTAACACTTCTGTGACGTAAAATTTTTCCTTAAAGTTGAGAGTACTCCCTGCGTATGGAAGGGATGTTTCTGTGCTGTGACTAACGTAAAGATGGTGTAGCTGAAAAAAAAAAAAAAGTTATATAGAGATATGTATAGGAAATATATTATTTCATAATATTAAACTGAAGGTGGGACTTTTCCTCCAAAATTCAAATATCGAACATGTTGCTCATCATTTTATCTTCATAAAGCACAGCTCTTCTGCTTTTGAAGGTAATCAGATTTTTAAAATCCTAACTAGCCAGTGGAAACCTTTTGTCAAGACTTTGGTATTGCGAGGTGTCCTAGCCAAAAGCCATCAAAAAAAAAGTAACTGTTTTTCTCACAGTGGTCACTTGTATGGTGTTGAACGTTGCATGTATTTTAGCACGGTGGCATGAAGCTTCTTTGCTTTGTAAAGGCAAAAAAAGTACAGCTGGACTTGTTTCCTGCGGTGGTGTGTTGCTTTACCAAGCGTTCGTCACTCGTTTCATTGCTCTCCTTGCTGGAAGTGAGACCATTTCCGACACATTGCTGGTGTGGTGCAAAGGATGTTAGATTTGTGCTGGCTTTGTGGGTATTTCTGAAACACTATTAACAAAGCAAGGAAGGGAAGAAAGGTTCTTTCAGAGACTTCCAGGGAGCTCCCATCAGATGTTAGGGTAGATTGGAAACATATTCTAGCATTATGTTATTGCAACCTGACAAGCTATTACCAGCCTGGTTCTTTGAAGGATGTGCAGTGTAGGCTATTATTTATGTACCAAGATGAAAAATTTTATGTGGACCAGTTTTGTTATATATAATATAACTGACTGGACAACTCCAGAGGGCTGGAGCACCTCTCCTGTGAAGACAAACTGAGAGAGTTGGGGCTGTTCAGCCTGGAGAAGAGAAGGCTCCGGGGTGATCTTATAGCAGCCTTCCAGTACCTAAAGGGGGACTACAGGAAAGCTGGAGAGGGACTTTTTACAAGGGTGTGGAGTGATAGGACAAAGGGCAATGGATTTAAACTGAAAGAGGGGAGATTTAGATTAGATATAAGGAAGAAATTTTTCACTCAGAGGTTGGGGAGGTACTGGAACAGGTTGCCCAGAGGAGCTGTGGATGCCCCATCCCTGGAGGTGTTCAAGGCCAGGTTGGATGAGGCTTTGAGCAACCTGATCTAGTGGGAGATGTCCCTGCCCATGGCAGGGGGGGTTTGGAACTAGATGACCTTTAAGGTCCCTTCCACCCTAAACCATCCTGTGATTCTAATACCAAATGCTGCCATTTTCTCTTTAGTATCCGGAGCCAGGCAAACAATCCATAAACTATTCATAAAATAGCTGGTGCTGCTTAGCATTTGTCTACAAACAGAACACAACTGATGCTTTATTCCGAATTCCTGACTAAGTAACGTCTGCAGATAATTTGCCGTCTGTTGTTTCTTCCCCTGCAGTCTTGGGGGTGTTGGAACGATTTCATTCGGGCAGAAACACCACATTGTGTGACGCCCACCGTCGGCTTTGCAGGGCAGTCGCTTGGGGTGGGAATTCAGGGCTCGCTTTCTGCGAGTACTTTGCGATGGGTTGTTTTTTACATCTGGGTTCAAGACCTTACTTTCCTAAACGCTGCAGAAGCGCTGGGAAGACACGGTGCAGGCCTCAGAGCAAAGGTGTTCCTCCACATTCACTCTCACTAGATGCTGGCTAGTGAACATAAGGACTGGGAAAAAAGAGGGGGCTAGTGACATGTTGTGATCTGCTGAAATAGGCGCAAATACTCTCCGTTTTCTCTCCAGTCCAGTGCTATTAGCAAGTGTATCCACAAGAGCAGGTGAGGGTTTATTTTAAGGCCAGTGTAAGCAGCGTTCTCTCCAAACAACCCTTTTCCTGTGTTTACCAGGTGGAAGCCAAGTTGTCCCTGCGAAGCTGCCTGTCATCTGAACCTTAGTTATTTTGTGAGGGTGGAATATGAAAGCAAGTGAGAAAGTCAGGAGGTTTATGGGCGCGTGTGCACGGTTGATCCTGTCGGAGTATTTTAATTTGTGCGTGTTTGAAGAGGGCAACGTAACTACTGTGTATTGCCATGTAAAATCCAATAAAGTCTGTGGAAAACGCCAAGTCTTTCTGGAGGCTAGTTCTTTTTAAATGTATCCTCTTTTTTTTTTCCTTTTTGTTTTCCTACGAAGCTCTGTTGGTACTATTTAAAAGACAGAGGAGGGAGAAGGGGCAAATGGCACATTTTCTGTGGGCTAATGAGTTTGTTTGTAGATAAGGCCTGCAGAAAAGCTCAGCTAACAGCTAAGAAATCAGCTATCCCAAGTGTTTTTACTTATTTCTGGGATTCAGATTTAAACCGCGTTGGGTTGTTGGGTATGGTGTGATGAGAAAGTGTTGCTCGGTGTGTGCTCCTTGGCGAGTCCTCATAGGATGCCGAAGGACGGACCAGCTCCAGCCTTTCCTGCTCTAAAGGGCAACCGTCTCTCTGGTCCCAGGTGTCATTCCCCTCCCCATGCCCTTGCAGCCCTCAGCAGTGAAGGGAGCTGCACCTACTTTGCCAACAGGAGTTGAGCTTCCCCAAACTATGTCTTGTTGCAGGGGTGCAGCTGCAAGTGATGATGAGTGCTTTGCTCGGTGTAGCCCAGATAACGGACCAGAGAGTGCAGAACCCCTGTCTTGTGACTGTCGTTTTTGTGGTTTTGTTCAGCAGCTCAACATTTCAGTAGGAACACTGAGCATGAACACTTTGAAACCTGGAGTAAAATAAATTTCTCGTCTGTATATTTACAGTGATGAGGAAAAGATGCGTATCGATCAGAAAGCTATGGAGATTAAACCCAGCTTTTTTTCTGTTCGCTTAGATTACATACATGCTTAGGAGTGGAGAAGTAATGCAGAATGACCTCTGGAGTGACTCGTCTGATTCCCATCCACTAGGTATTGCTGCATCCTGGCTTTCGCTTCAGGAGAGAAGGTGCACTTACCCACCCTCCCCGCAGGCTTTTTATACCTTGCACCGCTTTGTTGTTATGAACGTTAGTGCATACTTTATGCTTTGTCTTAGTATTTCGGCATTTTCATTTGCAGCAAGAGCTTTTCCTACTGAGTCTCTTCATCCTCAGTTGGGAGGAAGAAGATAGTGCTCTTTGAGGCAGCTGAGAAGGAAAACCACCTCATTTGCCAGTAGATTTGTAGCAGTGGTCAGCAAGGAGACAGTATTAGCTCCTGGGGAACCCTTGAATAGGGAGGAAATTAGAGTTCACAGAGAGAACAGGAGAAGCAGCAGCGTGCTCTCTAATCGTAGCTGTGAGAAGGTCACGAACGAATGGAGATAGGCCCATGACACGTTTGAAGACCTGTGGAAGAAAAAGACATGTAATATGTAGGACGTGATCTGTTTCTTAGAGAGAGGAACCTGAGGGCAGCAATGGGACTGACCAGCCTGTGCAGCTGAGAAGGTGTTTCCCCTGGAGGTGGCAGGAGCACATGAAAATTTGAAGGCAGAAGGAGAGAGAGGTCAAATCAAGACGTTTTGAGCAATAAGAGTAAAGAGGGCAGAGAGAGGTAGATTCTTTACACTTTTTTCACTCATTCAGAATGAAGAGGAGGAGGAAAAGCAGTGTTCAGCAAGACAGAGTGTATTTCTTGAGAATGGTGGTGAGATCCTGGGCGGATGAAGAGACCATGGTGGTGCATTTGGCATCAGCAACATCCAGAGCTCAACAGGGCTGGCTCCTGCTGCAGCGGTAACGTGTTCCAGCTAGAGACACTGGATTTTTCTAAGGTTAGGAAGCTTGTTTGTTTGCAGGTGTATTTGATAGTCATCCATGCTGCATTGACTGTCCAAGCTGCTCTGAGAGAATCCAGTTACGGGCAGCAACAGCGCAAGCTTCTCAGTTGAGCCAAAAGTCCACCTGAGTCCGTGCGCATTGCCATGGCACAACTAATGCCACTGACAATAGGTTAATACTGGGATACAGGCAACAGCCCATCAAAAAATACCACCAGGTCATTTCAGGCACCCTGTAGAAGTCTTCAGGCTTGGATGTATGCCCTTCTCTGGGGGGACTGAAAGAAAAAGGTTGTTTCATCTCCAGGAAACACTCAGTGCCAAAAAAATGGCTTCTCAGTACTAGTCCTAGAAAGGAGATCAACGGAGATAAGATCAGACTGGAGTGAGATAGCACCAGCTACAGAAAGGGTGCCAGAATTAACAATAAGGAAAACAAGCCCAGATGAACTGAGTAGGTGTGAAAGTTACTGGGCCTGTGGGGCTGGTTGCTGCTCAGTCGGCTGCAAGAAACACCCCCAGGAGAAAGCCCGTCTGCCCTGTGGGGTGGCAGCCGGCCCGCTCTGCTGCTGCGGTGACCTTCAGCTGGAAGGTAACCATGTGAACTGAACAGGTCTGGCTGAGCCCACTCCCTACAGAGCCTGCTCTGGAAAGGGAAGGGACTTCCGCGAGGTGATCTGCCTGGGGAAACGACCTCCTCGTGCACAGGAAATGGGCCAGAACGTCTCACACGAGGACAAACAGGAGAACAAGGCTGAACCTCTAGTCATCAGTGAAGTCTTCAGCCAAGGCGTGGTCCATGCATCTCAAAGCCTAAATGACTGTCTTGGTTTCAAGGATCCTCAGAGCAAATTCCAGCCAGACACATACACACTGAGTGAAATCTTTTTGGTCAACTTCATCAGCTTCTGCGTGGAAAAGGGAGCAGAGGAACATATCACGACCAGCAAAATGACTGAGCAGCAGTCCTGCCTGTTCGGGGTGGACTGGATCTGACCTCTGCCTGGAGCTGACAAGCAAACCCAACTTCAGATCGCTGTGCAGGCTTTACAGCTGGCTGAGCTTTTCCGTAGCGGAGGCGGTCTGGCTGAGGAGGTGGAGGACTGCTGCCAGGAAGCCACACTGTAGACAAACGCTTTCGAAACAGGAGCAGGTTTGAGAAGCTGGCGGAGTTCTGCCACTTGGTGGGACAGGACTGCCTAGGCTTGTTCTTCATGTTTGGTGTGCCAGGGAAGCCCAAGGCCATCCGAGGAGTCATGCCAGACAGCATTGCC